TCTGGAGGACCTACGATGGTGTTTATCAGCCGCCACAGGATGACCGTCCTGGTGCCCGCTGGCCCGCTGTCAATCCTGGATTAGCGATAGGCTGTCTGGTGGCCCTTGATGGGCCATGTGTTTGAGGAGGGTTGAGGTCCCGGGGAGCAGAGGGAGTGCTAAGAAAGGGCTTCTTTCCAGGACCGAGGGAGTTTGGCCTCTCTGTGCCCTAGCTGGAGGACTTCCCAAGGCAGGTTGGGAGTCAAGGGTTTGAGGGTGAGCTGTTCATTTCATGGACACTCCCAGAAGGCCCAGTGAGTATCCAGGGGAAGAATGGGAGGAAGGGGCCTGTGGCTTGGGTATAGTTGAGTGTCCCCTAAAGGTTCATGTGGGGCAGCCAGGCCCCCGGTGTGGAGATGTGGGAGGGGCGGAGCCTTTAAGAGGTGGGGCCTCCTGGGAGGCGGTCAGGTCACCTTAGGGTGCTGACCTTGGAGGGAAGCAGGGGAGTTCTCACTGGGTCCTGGCCTGCCACCTTCCACTGGGGACCTCCACCTTCCATGGGATCTCCCCCCTCACAGTGCTCCCACCACGTGATGCCATCTCCCATGAGGTCCCCCCCAGAGCCAAGCAGTGCTGGCACCTTGAGCTAATAAGCCCCGCTCATTGTCAGCTTCAAGTGTCTCCTCCAGCAGCGGAACTCGGGGTAACACGGTGGGTGTGGCCCAGGAGGCTCCCCTGGGGCAAGAGAGGGGTGATCCCGCCAACGACCCAGGTTCTCCCGCGAACCCTCAGAAATGAGGAAACGGGATTCAACCATGAACTCTGTCCCTCACCAGAGGAGCGACCCTCCTGGGGGTGTCTGGTCCCAGGACTTCCACTTTAGGGTGGACACAGGCTCAGCCTGCCCCTGTGGCCAGACGGAGCCTTGAGCACAGAGGGGGAGGTGGCGGCCGGAAGAAATGGTCAGTTGCATGGAGTTGTCCCCCAAGCTGTAGGTGACATCCGGCCTGTCCCCCAAGCTGTAGGTGACATCCCGTGAGCGGGCGTTAGGATGAACAGTGTCCACCCCGGTGTTTTCTGCTGAGGATGGAGCAGGCGGGGCCGGGGAGGGGGATCTGCTGCGGGGGTGGCGGAGGGATCTGTGGACTATCTGCAGCCACCAGAGGGACGGGACCTGGGGGGACACCTGGGGGGGAGGGGCTGACCCGGTCGGCACCACGGACAGCTCCCCTCCCTTGCTGATCGTCCAGGGGCGTCATGGAAGGAGCCAACCTCACCCGGGTCTCCGAGTTCCTGCTCCTGGGCCTCTCGGAGGACCCCAGGCAGCGGCGGCTCCTGTTCGTCGCCTTCCTGTCCATGTACCTGGTCACGGGGCTGGGGAACCTGCTCATCATCCTGGCCATCGTCGCCGACCCCCGGCTGCACACGCCCATGTACTTCTTCCTGGCCAACCTGGCCTCCGTGGACGTCTGCTTCACCTCCACCACCGTCCCCAAGATGCTGGCCAACCACGCGTCAGGACGCAGGGGGATCCCCTACTCCGGCTGCCTGACCCAGATGTTCTTCTTCATCTGGTTCGCCGGCATCGACAGCTTCCTGCTGACCGCCATGGCCTATGACCGCTACGCGGCCATCTGTCACCCTCTGCATTACGCCACGACCGTCACGCCCCGGCTCTGCGGCCTCCTGGTGGCCATGTCTTGGACAGCCGCCTTCGGGAACGCCCTGACCCACACGGTCCTCCTGACCCGCCTCTCTTTCTGCACCCACAACCAGGTCCCCCATTTCTTCTGCGACCTCAGCCCCCTGCTGAAGCTGGCCTGCTCGGACACCTTCCTCAACAAGGTGCTGGTGGACACGGTGGGCGCCCTGCCCATCATCGTGCCCTTCGCGGGCATCCTGGTCTCGTACACGCGCATCGCTGCGGCCGTGCTGAGGGTCCCGTCTGCGGGCGGAAAACGCAAGGCTTTCTCCACCTGTGGCTCGCATCTGTCTGTGGTGTCCCTGTTCTATGGGACACTTATTGGGGTTTACTTCAGCCCCATGTCCTCCCACACGGCCCAGAAGGACACGGCTGCTGCAGTGATGTACACGGTGGTCACCCCCATGCTGAACCCCTTCATCTACAGCCTGCGCAACAGCGACATGAAGGGAGCCCTGGGGGCCCTCATCAGCAGGAAGCCGGGTTTTATTAAATGACTGGAAGGTTGGGAGGTCCAGGAGCCACATATGATGCCCCCTGTCCTAAACCTCCCAATCTTAAATGTTGCCTTCGCATTGCTTTCTATTATTATTATTTTTTTCATTCTTCCAACACCTGTTTTTGGAGCATCTATTCTGCTCTAGATGCTCTGTCATGGGATGAGGATGCAGGAGAAATGAACAAATCCCTGACCCTGGAGTCTACTCCAGCCTGGAGAACACACGGGGTTTTAAATGAACCCGGAAACCAGAGAGGCCAGGATTCAAGTCCTGCTCTGGATTCTGTTTCTTGAAAAACCTGAGCAGAACTCTAGTCCCGCTGCTTCTGGTTCACCCACTGTCGGGAATACAAGGGGTGCTCTGTTGAGAGCCACAGCCCAAGGGGTCCCAGCAAACTTCCAGCTGCCAGCAAACTTGGAGCTGCCAGCTGATGATTGGCTAACAGCGCCCCCCCCCCCCCCAAACTTCTAGCTGCCAACTGATTGGCTCCTCTGCGGTGATGCTCATTGGGCTGTTTCCCCGCCCTTTCAGACCACGGAGCTGCTCATTGGGGGACTTTTTGGCCCCGCCCACTTGACCCAGCCAATGGGCCTCAAGAGCAGGAGGAGTGGGGGAGGTTGAGAGGCTTGTGGGAAGCCGGTGGTGGCAGTTGGGCTCTGAAGGTTTTCCTGAGGAGCTGTGTGGTGTGGGGTGTGTGTTCTAAAAATAAAGTTCGTTTCTTTTGACAAGTGGCTCCTGAATTGTGCCCAGCCAGACTGCGGCAGTGCTCTTTGCTAGCTGAGTCCTTGTGTCTGTTTAATTCCTTGAACTACCACGCCTTTGTCACTCTCAGGAAACAGATGCTACCTTGAGGTTCTCTGAATCAATAGCCTTGGGAAGATGGCAAGAGCCCCGCTGTTACTGCCTGAGAGGCAGAAAGCTGTTGGCTCATCCAATCCTGTGATTTTACGACTCTGAGAGGTGGCCAGTTCTTGCTAAGACTCTCTATTTCTTGTCATGGTTTTCCAAAAGCAGCAAAAAGCAGCCAATATAAAGTGACATCCCTTTTTCTTTCTAATCATTCTAGAAGCACAGACTAGGAGGACACATGGCCAGCCCTATAGCTATTCGCAGGTGACCGTCTTCCCAAATGGTCTTTGGTGTGGCAACGGTCCCCAGCTCGACAGTCTGCAATGCTGATGTCTTTGCCTCCTGGCCACTAAGCTAATGCAACCATTTTCATAAAGCAAACACCCCACTTCTGGTACCAACCTCTGTACCAGTTAGAATGAATGGCCTTCTTGCCGTATCAGTTTGCCAGGGCTGCTATCACAAAATGTATATCCTCACCGTTCTGGAGGCTGGGAAGTCCAGGACAAGGGCCCCCTCAATGCCTCATCCTGTGGAGGAGAAAGGGTAAAAGGGAGAGAGAATAAAAGGGAACTGAACTCCTCTTTGTAATAAATCCACTCTCACAATGATAAAGCCACTCCTGCAATAACGGCATTCATTTATTCGCTCCACCTTTGTGATCTAATTGCCTCTCGTTAGGCCCCACCTCCCCAAACACTGGGGATTAAATTTCCAATACATGCTTTTGGGGTGACTTGTTCAAACCATAGCCCGATTCTAGGTTGCTTCCATTTTCTGTCATTAGCAAACCTAAGTCATCGCCTTGTCTGCAAGCTGGGTCGCAGGCCTGTCTATGTTCCTGTTTTTCAACAGGTCTTCCCTTATCCACAGTTTGTGGTTGTTGTTGCTTTGTTTGTAGTGCAGAGGACCAAACCCAGGCTGCTCTACCACTGAGCTACCTCCCCAGCACCTTTCATTTTTTTATATTAGACAGGATCTTACTAAGTTCCTGAGGCTGGCTTTAAACTTGCAATCCTCCTGCCTCAGCCTCTCAGGCCACTGGAATTTCAGGCACACACCTCTGTGCCCAGTTCTCTCATCCACAGTATTGCACACTGTAGCTTCAATTATGCACACTCAACCACAGTCTGTAAGGATTAAATGGAAATTTCCAGAAATAAATAATTTGTAAGTTGCCAACTGCATGGTATTCTAGGTAACATGATGACTTCTCAAGCCATCCCACCCAGGACATGAATTATCCCTATGTCCAGTGTGTACAGGCTGTATATGCTACCCACCCATTAGTTATCTGGCAGCCATTTTGGTTTCAGATAGAGTGTCCATATATCATAGTCCTTATGTTGAAATAACCCTTACATAGTAACCCTATGCTATGTCATAATGCCTATGTCATTTGCCTTATTTCACATCACCATGTACGCATTGTCACATCATCCCAAGAAGGGTGAGTACAGCACAAGATATTTTGAGAGAGGCCACATTCATATAACTTTTTTTATTGTTATAATTATTCTATTTTATTATTAGTTATTGTTATTCTCATGCTTAATGTATAAATTAAACTATCGTAATTAGGTATGTATAGGGGAAACATAGGATACAGAAGGCCCAGTACTATCGGTGGCTTCCAGAATCCACGGGGGCAGGGATTTCTTAGAACGTATCACCCAAGGATAAGGGTGTCAACTGTAGGGGGAAATGGGAGCAGGAGGAGCTAAGTCTCCCCCAGAAGGACACACGTAATTTGCATTCACACTCCACAGGTGAAAACTTAGTCACCAACACTGTCTCACCTCAAGGGAGACTGAAGAAGAATATAACGTAGATACAGAGTCACACGTTCATGTCTATTTTTGCAGGGCTGGGATGGAACCCAGGGCTAGGAGTGCCAGGCAGGCACTCTGCCACCGAGCTACAACCCCAGCCCTATTTTACATTTTTTAAAAAATGATATATTTAAAGGGAAAAAAAAAAAACATTGAGTAAGTGATGATAGCTTTGGCAGACAGACAGATACAGCCTCAGCAGAGGCGCTGGGGACCTCAAGCGCCAGGCTGGATCAGGGACTGCAGGAGCGGGCTGTTAGGAAGCGAGCCACCTGTCGCATTGTCTCTTCTGCACACCACGTGCCAGCGCCCTTCCACGCTGCACCATGAGCGAAGCAGCGCCAGTCCCTCAAGAGGAACCGAGGGACCCAGCCCCTTCTCCTTCCTCCTTTTGGCTTCCTGGCTGATGAGGTGAGGGATTTTGCTCGGCCACATGCTGCCACCATGATGTGCTGCCTTGCCACAGGCCCCAAACAATGGGATCAATGGATCATTACTGGAACCTCCGAACTGTGAGCCCAAATAACCTTTTCTCTTTATAAAATTCGCTATCTCCGGTACTTTGTTATAGTGATGGAAAACTGACTGCACCCTCTTGGACTTCCCAGCCTCGGGACCACGAGGCAAAGGAAGCCTCTTTCCTTTATTAATGATCCAGTAAGATCCTTACAGGAACAGAAAATAGGTTAAGGCACAACTGTCAACCACTGAAGGCCAAGAATTGGTGGGCAGGGCTGGGGATGTGGCTCAAGCAGTAGCGCGCTCACCTGGCATGCGTGGGGCGCTGGGTTCAATCCTCAGCACCACATAAAAATAAAATAAAGATGTGTCCGCCAAAAACTAAAAATAAATAAATTAATTAAAAAAAAATTGGTGGACAATTCCTTCCAGTCCCCTAAACACTTCAGTGGGATGACTTTGAGGAATCCTGCATCAGTTGCTCAGAAGATTCCACAGGAGGCCAAGTGCCGGTTTCCGTTCATGAATGTGTCTCCCCTCCCGCCCCCTTTCCCTAGGCCCTCACGGTTCTTTCTGGGACCACCTCCCTTGTTTTGGAGAAACCCAAAGTAAGACATGGACAAAAGTCGGAGGTGATGTGGGAACAGCCAACATTGTAAACCCCGAGACAGTGCTTCTAAAACACTCAGTGCCTAGCATAGAGTGAGTGTTCAACAAATGCTTTTAGTTGTATTTTTGCTACTTTTTTTACATTATAAAATATATGTATTTTATTTATACTTTATACCATTTACCATTTTAATCATTTTAAATTTTTTTTTAAAGGGAGAGGGAGAGAGAATTTTAATATTTATTTTTTAGTTTTCAGCGGACACAACATCATTGTTTGTATGTGGTGCTGAGGATCGAACCCGGGCCGCACGCATGTCAGGTGAGCAGGCTACCACTTGAGCCACATCCCCAGCCCCCATTTTAATCATTTTTAAGGGGGGTACCAGGGATTGAACTCAGGGACACTCAACCACTGAGCCACACCCCCCGCCCTATTTTGTATTTTAATTAGAGACAGGGTCTCACCCAGTTGCTTAGCGCCTCACTTTTGCTGAGGCTGGCTTTGAACTGGGGATACTCCTGCTTCAGCCTCCCGAGCGGAGCCGCTGGGATTACAGGTGTGCACCCCCCCCGCCCCCACCCCCTGGAACCTGGAGTCAGTTCTCCCAAGAGAAGGTTGTCTTAAGAATGAGCCTGAGCCCTGAATCACTGGCCGGTTTCCGTCTGGGGCTGTGTGACCTCTTATTCTTGGCGTGTGCCCTTCCCTGCCTTCGTGACATCATCCACCGTAAGTCCTCACTAGAGCTGAGCTAATGCCTTTTACTTCCAGCACTGTGAGCTAAATAAACCTTCTTTCCCCGTAAATTTACCCAGCCTTGGGTGTTTTGTTATAGTAGTGGAAATGGACCCACGCAGTTTGAGATTTTACCCTACTTGCAAGCTGTCTGTTTAAACCCTACAATTTCATTGATGCTGGCAGAAAGCAGGGGACACTAGGGTCAGAGAAAAGGGGACTTTATAACTGAGGCACAGAAAGCAGTGTGAGTTTTGTGTTTAAGCTGGTGCTTCCCAAGTCTCACATGGGGTTTGTTCCACAGCCAAAAGCTTCAAGCTTAGAAATCCCAATTTCTATAGTGGACACAAACCAACCTGCCCTACCTCTATGAGACGGAGACTCACCTTGATTCTATGGAGAGCAAACAAGCCTCCATTCTGCTCCACAGGAAGAACCTCTCTCTATCCTCCAGTGCTGTTTGCTCTACAAACATCCTTGAAAGGACAGCTGGAGCCAAAGCCGTCCACACCCCTGCTTGTGAGATGTGCAGATATTAGAGAGGCCCATGGATAACTGTCAGTGACACCCGGTGGCTGTCTTCTGTGGTACAACTTGGACTGGGAGTGGAACAGGAGAAGCTGTCGAGGGTACAGTTTAGTAGGTCAGCGTGTGGACTCTGGACCTGTCCCCGGGTCCAATCCCAACCCTGCCTCTGCTCGAGCAAGTGACCTTTCCTTTCTCTGTCTCGGTGTCCCCATCTGTAAATGGGACCCGCCACAAGTCCCATCGCAGGGGGATACTGTGAAAGCGAAGTGGGCTTCTGAACAGAAGGCTCTCGGAACAGCGCCCGGGCACCCTCAGCCATGTCTGTCAACTGTCATTATTACTAATTATCATGACGATGCTGCCAAACTTGTGGTCGTGCCTGTTTTGCGGCATTTGTGGGCAGGCCCTTTAACCCACACAGTTCCCTCTGAGTGTGTCCCAGAGACTGGGGAGCGGGGCTCAGGCCTGTGCTCCCCTCCCTCCAGCCGGTGGCCCCTTCCCAGATGGGTCACCAAGACCGTGGCGGTCGTGGTGTTCCAGAGTCCCCAGGAATCAGACCCCCTCAGGGTCAAATCCTGGCTTGGCCACACGCCAACTGTGGGACCTCGAGGTTTTGCGGGGGGTGGCCCCCGAGGACATTGCCCGGGTTCCGGGTGAAGCGCGGAGCCCCCCACACCCCCGACACCTCATGCAACTTGCTGGGCGCAGGGCTGCGGCGGGCACGTCTGGGTCCCCCCATCGGGGCGATTTTTGCTCTGATCCTTGTTATTTTATTATTCAGTGATTAAGCCTCGTGAGAGACAAGCTGAAGACATCCCCGCTGTCCCCTGTTGGTCCTCAGCGAACTCACTCTGTGCCCCCAAGTCTCTCTGCAAGCTTCAGATTCCAGGGTGGGGAGGGGTATCCCAGTGTCCTCGGTTACTCAGGCGCCATCCCCACCTCTGCACTCAGGGGGACACGTTCTCCTGCCCAGTCCGTCCCTCCCACCTGTCACCTCTGGTCGTGCTCCACGCCCACCCTCCGAGGCCGCCTCCTCCCGGCAGGAAGCCTTGCCTGACGTCCATCGAGGCGAATCAGGTGCCCGCCTTACCCATCCTTGAGCGTTTCCAGCCCCCGCTCTCTGTCCGCGTCTCCCGGGCTCCCGGGGTCCCCCCGACCAGGCGCCCCTTCCCCCGCACCCGCGGGCGGGGAGCTCCGCAGCGGCGCCGGCTCCGCGGCCGCTCAACTTCGGCTGCTCTCTGCTGCCCCCCGGAGGTCGGCGGCGGGACTGCGCCCGGCTGCCCGCGGTGGTCACCGGCTCGGTGACCGCCCGCGGGATGTCACCCCTCCCTGTCTGACATCCCCACACCCTCCTCCCGTCTCCTTGGGTCAACTCCCAAATAAACTACTTGCTCTCAGATTCTTCCGGGGACAGCTGTCTGCCCTGTTGAAGGTAATGGCCTCATTGTTTGCAGTAATTGTCCCTCTGCCCCGCCAGGGTGAGGCGTGTCCGCCACCGTGGCCGCCACCGTGCCCCTAAAACCTGCAGAGCGGAACTGCAGTGGCTGGAAGTAGATGCTCCATAAGTGACCTCGTGTCTGGGATGGTGACAGGGATGTGCCCCCCCTCCCTGTCCTCAGAAGCCCCCAGTGGGAGACTTAGGAGGGGGAGGGGGAGCTCGATCCTCTTGAACTATAAATGGCAACTTTCAACCACCTCATGTCCCAGGCCACACAGCCTGGACAGCTGGGCCAGGGTCCCCAGGGTCCAGAACTCCAAATGACCCCTGCATTCTTGGCCAGGACTCCTGAGGTGTTCCTGGGCCAGCTACACAGAGAGGGTGCAAGTCTAGCCCTGAGGCTGCAGGGCAGGGACTGGAGAGGACCCGATTGGGGTGGGGGGACACAGCTTGGCCCTAAGGCCATTCCTAGCCCCCTCCTGCCCTCCCGGCATCAGGTTCCACCTCCGGGAACTCCCTGAGCAAGACAGCGTTCCAAGGACAAGGGTCTGCCCTACAAGGCCATGTAGCGGGCAGCCGTGTCCTGCGGGAGGGCTCCCTTTCCAGAGCAGGTGGAGTCAGGCCTGGAATTAGCCACACCACCTGCGACGAGGCCGGTCCAGGGGTCTCCAGGGACAGCAGGGATGCAGCCAGATGACCGCTGGTGCCCCGGCCTGGGGTAGTCAGCACATGAATGGTGGGTGGGCAGGAAGAAAAGGGGGGCTCAGGACATGGCACCAGCTCTGGGCTAGAGTCTGGGGTCACTGACAATCTGGGGGACCATAGGGAGCCACTTTGGGCCTCATGTCCCCAACCCCCCCAACCAATTTCTCGAGTTGGTTCTAAAGACAAAGGAGCCTCAGCTGGAGCCACCTCACTGGCTGCGTGACCTTGAGGGAGAGCCTGGCCTCCTATCTGCAGTCCGAGAATAAGATGTCTCCAGCTGCTGGGGCTGCAGACTCAAGTGGGAGGCTGTGCGCCCAGCGTGTGGCTTGTTGATAGGCCCTTATCTGCCTGTGTCTTTCGCCATGTTGACATCCTTGGACATGAGGTCAAGACTGCTTTACCACAAAGGGAAACCGAGTCTGCACCCTCGGGACCGGGGGAGATCAGGGAGGAGCCTGAGGGCGGAGCTGGGAGGGCTCTGGGCTGAGCCTCCTCAGCTCCCAAACATGGGGTGAAACCAACATGCTTAGGACACGAAAGAGGTTCCAGAAACTTCTGTTTGCTAACTGCCCACCTCCTGCACCTCCATGCCAATAGGGTGTAGTCCTCACCGTGACAAAGAGGAAGAAGCTGGCTTAAGGGACAGTGACATTGCCAGGCATGAGCAGAGGAGAGCTGCGAATTCCATATCCTGCCATGACTCCCATGTTCCCCAGCAGTGCCGGCCCCTTCCCAGTCGCTCCCTTTATCCTGTTCCTTCTGAGACTCAGGGCAGGAAATTCTCCCGACCTGCATCCACCCCACAAAGAGTCCTGATGCCGGGCCGGGAGTCCAGGGCTCTGCTCGGGTATCAGGAAAGCTTCCTGGAGGAGTCGTCTACGTGGGGTCTTGATGGATGAACAGGAGTTTCATAGGCAGAGGTGTGTGTGTGTGTGTGTGTGTGTGTGCGCAGGAGGAATTGCTCACTTGATTTAACAAGCACTTTCCCACCCTCTGGGGACCTCAGGGGACCTTGAACAGGACTCAGCCACAGGCCTGCATTCTGAGCCTACTCTGCTACTGTTCAGCACGTGAGAGGCTCTTAAGTGGAAAGTACAGGAGCTAAGGCCATTTGCTGTTCCATGGGCACTGGGGAGCCACAGCAGGTTCTGAGCAGGGGAGAGAGGGCACGGGATCTAAGGAGCCTGCCCAGGCTCCAAGAGTTTCCAAGAACTGATTCATCAATTGATTGGCTGGCGGTCTCACCTGGTGACTGGGTGCAGTAGAACACCGTGGGCAGGAGGGATGGAGACACAGAGGACAGAGACGGAGGAGGAGAGGGAGGGGAGATGGAGAGACACGGAGGGTCACTGAAAGGCAGAGGTGATGAGAGAGAGGGACAGAGAGAGGTGGGGGCAATGCGGGAGGGCTTCCCAGGGTGGTGGCTAGAAATGGGACGGAGGCCTGACCCTAAAACCCAGAGGCAGGACCCAGAGAGAAGGACAAATGGGACTCCCACGTCTGGGCCCAGGACTGGGCACCCACCCACACACCCGCCTCACTTTTCCCAGTGACAGCCAGGGACACTGGGGCCACCCGGTGCACCCCCACCCCAGGCCCTGCCGCCACAGGTCCTCTGGGCCCACCCGGTGCCCTCATGCCCAGGCGGGACCAGGACCTGGGTCACCAGGTTAAAAATGGAAACTGCCCGAGCCTCTTCTTTCTCCCTCCTTTGAGAAAATCCTAGGCCCAAATAAGGCGAGGGCTGCGGGCGCCGGGTGAGCTGGCCAAGTCCTCCCGACAAGCGAGTGGCGGCTGGCCCGGCCGGCCGGGCTTGGGCCTCCTCCAAGACTCGCCCTGCAGGAGGGCGGGCGCACCCCGATCCTATAAGGCCCTCTCCTGCACCCTGCCGCTCACTCACCCTCCAGCCCGCAGCCCGCCGCAGCCCCACCATGGAGGCCATCAAGAAGAAGATGCAGATGCTGAAGCTGGACAAGGAGAATGCCATCGACAGGGCCGAGCAGGCCGAGGCGGACAAGAAAGCCGCCGAGGACAAGTGTAAGCAGGTGAGTGGCCTCGGCTGGCTGGGCTGCACTGGGCTGCCCAGCGCCCTCTCTGTGCCCACTCTGCAGTCCAAGTGGGGTAGGTGCTGGGGCTGAGGGTGGAGGTCACAGAAATTTTGGTACCTGAGTGCCGGGGTGGGGCCGGGGCCGATGCTCTAGCAGAGACAGAGGGGACTTCCCTGGGAGGGTGTCCCTGGGCTGGGAATCAGGAGTGACCAGACATCGCCTCCCCAGGGCCAGCGGGAGCCCAGGGAGCTGGAGAGGGAAGGTGCTGCAGGGCAGGGGCTGTGTGCCCCAGGGGGAGGCTGTGTGTGTGTGTGTGCGCGCTCGAACACCTCTGAGTGCCTGTGCATATTTGTGCGTGGCGAGCATCTGTGTGTGTGTGTGCTAGTGTGTGCCCGTGGGGACTTTTCTGTATTCACGTATTTGTGTGTGCTTGAACGTTTCTCTGTGGGTTGTGTGTTTGCATGTGAGCATTTTGGGGGGTGTGTGTGTGTGTGTTCCCGTGGGGACTGTGGGCAGGCGGAGGTGTGTGCGAGGACCGGTCAGTGTGTGGCCTGTGGTGTGTGATGTGGGGCTGTGGACAGTGGGAGGCGGGCTGTGTGGGCATGGAGGTGACCGTGTGTGTGTGTGTGTGTGTGTGTGTGTGTGCGCGCACGCGTGGGGGCTGACTGAGCTTCTGTCGGGATGTGTGTCTGGGTGACTGGTTTTCGGGAGGACACGGTGTTGACATGTGTGTCTTTTCCTTTGTCTTTTTATTGTTCTTTTATTCATTTTTACGTGGTGCTGAGGATGGGCCCGGTGCCTCGCTGTGACAGGCAGGCGCTCTGCCCCTGAGCCACCACCCAGCCCCTGAGATGTCTCTGTGGGTGTGTGTGCGCGCGTGTGCGTGGAGAGGAGGGGATGGCTGAGCAGTGCGAGACACGGGGACCCTGTGCCTGTGTCTCGCGGAGCCCAGGGCTCCTGTCACATGCGGTGTCGGGGGAGCGGCTGGGGGGCCTGGGCCAGGGCCGGAGAGCTGAGGAGCCCCGCCTGGCTGTGTATCCCAGCGTGTCCTGGTGTCCCAGGGACAGGAGGTGATGGCCCGAGGCAGGAGGGAGGCCGCGTCCCACCCCAGCAGCCCAGGAGCCCACGCAGAGCCAGAGCTCCAGGGAGGAGACCCTCACGACGGGGTCACGGGGAGCTCATGGAGGCTCAGTGGACGGGGCCGGGTTGAGCCGAGGCTGGGGCTTGGGGTGGGGCAAGAGTCCCTTGTCCCGTCTGGACAGCGGGAATGGCAGAAGGAAGGAAGGGGCTCGTGCCTCCCGGGGTGCCCTTCCTCAGGGCTGCGCCATCCCGGGCCACCTGCTGGGCCCTTGGGATGGTGCGGGGCTTCGGATAAGCCCCCGGAGTCCCCCAGGACGGCCACACCAGGTGCCCAGGCCGGCCCAAGCCAGGCCCGGTTCATGTCATCAGTTTGGTCACTGGGTGCCCTCACCTCCCAGTGCCTAGCTGGCCCCTGTGTGAGGTGGGGACGTCACTGGGGCCTTCCTGGCTGCATGGGAGGATCAGAGGTGACTGTGCAGGTGGAGGCCTTGGCTGGGGAAGGGCTCGATACACATGGGACTATTTCCTGCCCCGCCCTGCTTCCTCTTTGGCCCTCCCCACCCCCCAGTTCCTAGGGCAGCCCTGAGTGACACATCCATGTGGGCCAACTCCACCCCAGCGTTCCCGGCCACACTCCTTTCCCTCTTCCCGGGGCCCCTCCCTGGCAAACACAGACCCGTCCTGCCTGGGCCCTGGCCTGCAGGCTGCCCTCCATCAACCTTTAGCCCCGTCATGGGCGGCTTAGCCAGGGAGCAGCTTTGCAAAGCCTGTGGCTCCAATTCTCACTAAGGTGTGGGTGACTGATACAGAGGCAGCCACGAGCTAGAAGGGAAGGTCCGCTAAGCCTCTAGCCCGCTGTCTGACCCTGGAGGTGGACACGGTGCTCCAGTCTCTGGTGGGTTTTATTCCTTCTTTTGTTATTATTTTATTATTATTGCTTTGTACAAGGGGTTGAACTCAGGGGTGCTTGACCACTGAGCCACATCCCCCGCCCTTCTTTTGTTTTGAGACAGGGTCTCACTGAGTTGCTTAGGGCCTCGCTAAGTTGAGGCTGGCTTTGAACTTGTGATCCTGCCTCAGCCTCCGGAGCCGCTGGAATCCTCCTGGTGGCACATGAGTTTTCCCATGGCCAGGCACGGAATCCAAGGTCCCAGAGCCCCAAGGCGGAAGCCAGAGCCCCACAGGGCCAGTGGTCCACCCTGCCTGGGAACGGAGGCGGTGGCGAGGGGTCACCTTGCCTAGCCTACCCTCTGCTCCAGGAAGCCAGAGAGAAAGCCACCTGGGACCAACCCAACCCTCAGGGACAAGGAGCAAAGTCCCGATTCCCATCCCTGCTGGTCCAGTGGGAACAGGACATGGAAGGCCAGCCTGCCTGCTTCCTGCCCACTCCCCTCCAGGGCAGTGACATCCGCCACCAGTGGCCTTTGACCCCACATCCTGCCTCAGCCTGGCCCTAAGGCCCATTTACATGGACTAAAGTTGCTCCATGACCCTCCGGGCCATTTCACAGGCTGGAAAACTGAGGCTCAGGGAAGGTCAGCAACTTGCCGGGGCAGGGCTGCACGTCCCAGCACGTGTTCTGGGAGTGGAACTGGGTCAGAAGGAAGGGCCTGTCCACAGCGTGGGTCTGCATATCCACCGCCCGCCCCTGGGGGGGCTGGTTCCTTTCACTGGGTCATTCAATAACTCTCCTACAGTGTTCTGGGGAGGGAGCCCCAGGCTGGGGGGCGGATGGGGGGTAGGGCAGGAGTCCCCCCGGCAGAAGGTGGGGAGCTGTGGGCACAGCTCGGCCAGCAGTCCAACAAGCAGGTACTTTTGCTGTTGTTGTTTTTTAATATTTTTTTTAGTTGTCAATGGACCTTTATTTTATTATTTGTGTGTGGAGCTGAGAATCGAACCCAGGGCCTCACACATGCCAGGCAGGCGCTCTGCCCCTGGGCCCCAGCCCCCGAGTTAGTTTAACAGAGTGGGACTCCCGTCCCCCGCTGGACACCCTCATTCCCCTTTCAGACTCGACTTGCCCTTCTGGAACGGGGACTCTAGGGAGATGGCATTTGTAACACGCCTGGGACACTCTGAGATGCTCAGTAGCCTCCCACCCACCCTCTGCTAGTCCCACCAGTTCTTGTCCAAATGTCCTCAGAGCCAAGCCATCTTCACCCCCAGGAACCCAGTGTGCCTTGTTTGAACCCCTCCCCCACACCGGCCAGGCACACAGTCGGTGCCCAGTAAATGCTGTGATCCAGAGGGAAGACAGGGGGTGCTGGGTCAGGACTGATCTGTGAAGTGTCTTTAAGGAAACTGGCTTAGGGCTGGGCCTGGGCCCAGGCTCAGGGGCAGAGCGCTGGCCTGGCACGCGGGGGGCACTGGGTTTGATCCTCAGCTCCACAAAAAAAACCTTAAATACACAAAACAAAGGTGCTGTGTCCCTGTGCAACTAAAAAGATGAAAAAGAAAATTGTCTCGTGTTCTCCATGAAGGCAGAAGTTCAAAAGCCAGGGTGGTGAGAGGCCACCAGGTCAGAGCGGAAAAGTGAGCTCAGAAAAGGGGACAGGGGTCACATAGCTGGGACTTGGAGTCAGACTCCAGGCTCCTTACCTGGAGTTAAAGGCCCAAACCCGCAGACCCTGACTTTGGTCTGAGTTGCTGCTGGCACTGGGTTGGGCCCTGTCACCTTCCTGTGACTGAATATTTTTGCGGGGGTCGGGGGGGGGGGGGGGGGGTCCCTGGTGACTTAAGCAGACCCATCCGTCCCTGCTCTGGGCAGCACCTCAGCTAGAGACCCTCACAGGGCACCTCAGTGACCTGAGCTGAAGCCCCAGCAGCAGGACCCCCGAAGGCTCAGGAGCTGCGAGTCTGGGTGTCCCTGCCTAGGAGCAGGACCTTGTAAGAATTCACGCTAGTGTGCGCACACTCACTCACGCACATGCTCACACGCACACGGCACCTTACCTCTTGGGGGAGAGTGGGATCAGCCGGCTCCAGAAGTCTCAAGCTCAGGAGCCTTTATGACCCATCCTTTGGGGGAAGGGAGAGAAGCCAGTTGGGGAGGAAGGGAGGACAGCCCGGCTGGCGTGGGGGACAGGACAGCAGCTGGGTCTCCGCCCCGGGAGCTCTAACAACACACAGAGCCACGGCCATGCTTCCTCACAGTCTGGAGGCTGGGAGTCCAAGGTCAAGGTGCAGGTGTGCTGTTGGGAGGGCTCTTCTGGCTCCTGGACAGCCACCTTCCTACACTGGTCCCTTCCTCTTCCTCTTCCTCTGAGGCCCCTGATCCCATGTGGGGCTCCACCCTCCAGACCTCACCTCACCCTAATCCAATCGCAAAGGCGCCCACCTCCAAATACCATCCCTTCCAGATTGGGGTCCAAAATACAGGTTTGGGGTGGGGGGGGACACAAGCATGTAGTTCATAGTGGTTTATGTTCAGAGGAACTGGGTTCCAATTCTGTACTGTGTGACCTAGGAAAAGCCACTTCACCTTTCTGGGCCTCTTCCTGGAAGGAGGACAATGAGGCAGGGTCTTGGGCTGCCTGCTCCCCCTAGGAGCATGGACAACAGCAGGGGTCAGACCAGCAGAGACAGCAGTCAGATCAGCCCAGGGGATGGATGAGGCCACCCCAGTCTGGAGGGTGGTGCAGTGTGGGGTCTGAGCTGATTTGATGGGCGTGGTGGAGGTAATGGGGATGCAGGTGATGGGGCCTGTGGTTTGTATCCCCCAGACAGGACCTCCTCAAACTAGGAGCCAGGGAAGACTCTCAAGATAAAGGACTAAAAATTTGGAAAAGACAGCAGACATTTTAATTAAGATAAACATACACCAAATATGCAACATTGGAAAAGATTTAACCTGAGCCTTCAAATAAAATGATGTTTGATGGGTTGGTTTCTTCTAGCTAAGCCCCCAAAGTTTAGAAGTTGGGGTGCAGGGTCCGAGCCCTTTGGAGAACTTTGGGAGACGTCTGAGATTCACTGCCTTGGGCATGGCTAAGGGCAATAGGCAATGGGGAGCCATGGCAGGTTCTGGGCAGGGAAAGGGCAGCCATACTCTTTGGAAAGTTTCCCTGGCTGACAATGCGGGGTACAGACCTAGAGAAAGGTAGACTGAGGAGAAAGAGGAGGGGTCCAGATCCAGAGTATGAGGTTCCCCTTCCTGCTTAACCCACATCACTAGGGGGGTTTGCAAAAGCCTGAAATTGTCAGGCAAAACTGAATGAGCAGTGTTTCTGGAAAACCTGTGGGAACACCAATTCCCCCAAAGCTGTGATCGAGTCCCCAGCAGGACTGGGGACCCCAGTGAGGTTAAGAACATTTAGTCCCCAGGACAAGGGAAACCCCTGGGCAGGAAACCCCTGGGCAGGTCGCATTTCTTGAATGGTGCGTACCATTGTTATCCTTGTTTTACAGACGAGGAAACCCGTGCCCAGAGAGGAGGAGAGCCAGAGGACTTTTGTGCACATGGGGGCCAACCCTGTACCGCAGGGGCACGGTGGCACCCCAGGCTGATGCGTCCCCCGATCTGTCCCCAGGTGGAGGAGGAGCTGACGCACCTCCAGAAGAAACTGAAAGGGACAGAGGATGAGTTGGAAAAATACTCGGAGGACCTGAAGGACGCGCAGGAGAAGCTGGAGCTGACGGAGAAGAAAGCCTCCGACGTAAGTGCGCAGTGCTGGGGGTGCCCGCGGCAGGGCCGGCAGGAGCCCCAGGGCTGGCCGGGCGGGCAGTGCTGGAGGAAGAGGAGAACCAGTTGGAGAAGGCGGTGCCTCCCGGCGCTTTCTCCAAATAAGTCCCGAAAAGGGGCACTTTCCAGCAGCTGCGGCCAGCGGTGCCGACGTCAGGCCCTCCCCCAGCGGTGCTGACGTCGGCGGCCGGCCCCGGTGACCTCATCGCCTCGACGGCAGCGGGGCCGGGGGGCGGGGAGAGGCGGGGGCGGCCCGGCGCAGGCAAAGGCTGGGGGGCCGGGGCGCGGCTGCTGTAGCTCTCGCCAGAGCCGAGCCGAGCCCAGCCGATCGCCCGCTGCGTGCGCCCCCGCGCCTCCGCGCCATGGCCGGCCTCAACTCCCTGGAGGCGGTGAAACGCAAGATCCAGGCCCTGCAGCAGCAGGCGGACGAGGCGGAGGACCGCGCTCAGGGCCTGCAGCGGGAGCTGGACGGCGAGCGCGAGCGGCGCGAAAAAGTGAGAGCCCCACGCGCCCGGCGCCCGCACCCCCAGCCGCGCGCTCTCCTTTCTCTCCCGCTCCCGCGCGCCCGGCTGCAGCCGTCACTGCCGGGAGCCCGCCTTGGCGCCCTCCGGCCTGCCGCTCCCCGATCGCGGCCCCGCGTCCGCTCCCCGGCCGCCGCCCGCCGAGTCCCCCTGTCCTCCGCCGCCATCCTCCCTCCCGGGCTGGGGCCGCGGAGGGGGCGCTGCATCCGGGGCGGGCGAGGCCGGCCGGGCGGGAGATGGGGGGATGGGGCGGAGGGGTGCGCAGCCCCCGCTGGGGAGGTGGAGGAGGGGTGCGCGGCGCTGGGCTCCGGGTCCGGGCAGGCGCGGAGTCCCCGGCCGAGGGGCTCGGCTACTGGACCGGGCGGCGGGGCGCGGGGGAGGCAAGGCCGGCTCCCATTGTCTGGGGCTGGGCCGGCCGGCTGGACTTGGGCGGGGGGCGGGGGCGGCGCGCTTTCTCGCTTCCCCGGTGGCTTCCCGGCTCCCGCTGAACTTTCCCAGCCGTTCCCAGGGGCGCGGCGGCGACGTGTCTGCTCCAGGCAGGGGGCGGAAGTGCAGCCCTGAGCCGCCGGCCTTTCTCTCCAGCTGGTCCCTGGGGCAGCCAGGGCCGCGGGACCCCGCCTTCGTCCAGAAGGCCCTTGGAATGTTCGCGAGGGGCCCTCCACCTGTGATCGTTTGAGCACCTACTGTATGCTTCTGCTGCACTTTGGCGGGAGGGAGCGAGAGGGAGGACAAGTCTGAAAGAGAAGGGAGCCGCAGCACCCCTTCTCCATCCCTGACTGCCCCTCGGGAGAGACGGTGGCAACACTTGGGACTTGGGGACAGATCTGGATCTTAATCCCATCTCAAAGTACTTACCAGCTCTGTGTGGCTCTGGCCCATAGTAGGTGCTCAATTCGTTTGTCTCCCCTCCCTCCAGCCCTAGAAGAGTTCAGAGTCTTTAAGAGGAACAAACAAAAAAGTGTGGTTAGCATTCCAGGGGGCTCCTGGGCCGGGCCAAGCTGAGAGGCCGCCTTGGGACTAGGCAGGGTCTAGAGTTTGTTGGGACTTAGACAAGGGGTGTGTGGGGCAGGGGCAGTGGAAGCCCGGGGACCTGAGAGCTGGGGGACTCGGGGCTCAGGGTGGAGATCCCAGAAAAGGAAAGATTCTGGCCAGGTGGTTGCATGGCAGTCCTGGGGCAGTCCAGGCTGGGGCTGGCCCTTCCCAGGGCCTTCCTTCTGTGTTGGCCTGGCTTGCAGCCTCTGATCCTGTAAGGGCTCTCTGGCTGGAAGAGACATTGGAAACCGTGTCAGCCCCCAAACAGTAGCTGCTCTGGCCTCTTTCACACACCAGAGCCTCCTAACCCTTCCTCTGATCTCACCCCAAGGCATCTCACAGGAGGACAATTACTTCTGCTCCAAAATGGCCCTCAGCCCTGAGCCAAGACTTGGGAGTGAGACAATCCGGTGGGGAGGGTGGATATTTTTGTAAAGTTTGGGGCTTCTTTAAAGTTCACTCTACAGAGATGCTTCTCTAGGTCTGGAGAGGGGAAGCCTGAAGGTGATTGGTGATTCAGGGAAAAGAACTGGGAGAGAGAGGGAAAAAAAAAACAAAAAAACCCGAGTCTCTTGTAGAGAAAGCCAGCAGCCGGCGTGTGGCAGGATTCTGGGCCTGCCTCCCAACAGCTGGTTTCATTTAGATTTTTGTGTGATTAACCGACGTCTTCCTGTTTCTTTGCCACATGTATCTAGCAAGCCTCTTTTACCTTATAAGGAAAATCCTTTGTAGAGTGTGGAAGGCTTTGATTGCAGGAAGGGGTGGAGCCCAGGATGACTAGCAGTGACTAGCAGTTTTTCAAAAATCCATATATACGCCTGTGCAGGCAGCACCTACGTGTGTGCGCGCGCGCGTGTGCGCAGCTCAGGGCTCTTGATTTCAGAGCGTGGCTGCTCACTAGTTAATTTTTTAGACAGTTTGTGAATCAGGTACCTCTGTGTGATCCTAAAAATCAATTCCTGTGTCTTCAGGATAGGTTTCTTTTGGAGGGAAAGTTCTGGAATTAGCGGTGTTGATCGCACACCTGAAAACCACTGAAGGAAAACAAACCAACCCCAGATTCCTCCCCGAGTTGCCGAATGGTGCTGGGCAGACTTAAGAGTCATGCAGTTAAGAGAGATTCCCGGGTTTGGCGTGGGGCTCCGCGATAGTGTTTGCCTAGCATGTGAGAGGCCCTGGGTTCCCTCCCCAGCATCCAAAAAAAAAACCCTCCTCACTGAAAGGTGACTTTTTTTGTTTTTGTTTTTGGTGGCAATGCTGGGGATTGAACCCAGGGCCTTGTGCATGCAAAGCCACCTCTGCCAACTGAGCGATAGCCCCAGCCCCAAAGGGTGGTGGTATTTTTTTACTTTTTTTTAATCAATTTTTTTTGTAGTAGTACAGAATAACTTTATTTTACTTATTTATTTTTATGAGGTGCTGCGGATCGAACCCAGGGCCTTGCACGTACGAGGCAAGCGCTCTACCGCTGAGCCACCACCCCAGCCCAAAAGGTGGTATTTCTAAAGACTGTCCCTCAGCCGTCCTAATTGGCTCTCCACATTGCTGGTTCAGGGGCGCAGCCGTCAGAAGCCCCCCGTGGGTGTGTCCTTGCTGCGGGGGCTCTGGCCGCAGACCTTCCTGGTTCAGTGACTTCTATTTTCTGATGTATAGACTCCGGCCAGCAGGGCGTGGTTCCCAGTCATTTTTATAGTCTTTCCCACTTCAGAGATTTCTTGTCTAGATAGGAAGAAGGTTTGTGGCTTCGCCCCTTGGTTGGCCCTGTGTGACTATCTCAGCATTCCTTTCCAAGGGTGGCCATGCCCGCCCCACTGGCCTGGCGGAAGTCCCCCTCCCCAGAGGGAGGTGGGGCTGGGAAAGCAAGGGCTCCAGGGCTCCATCCCTGACCTGCTCTGAGTCACTGAACAGAACCACTTCCCCTAGCAGGGCCCTTGGTGCCCCCATCTGTAAAATGGGTGAGATGTGAGACTCTAAGGGCAGCGTGGCCCTTCCCACGTGTCAGGGCTGAGCCGGCCAATGCCCTGCAGTGACAGCCCTCATGGCAGTCCTGTGAGGTCATCAGGCTCTGCGGGAGAGAGGCTCAGAGAGGTGACGCAATCTGCCCCAGGCCACCTGGCTGCGGGTGGCAAGGCCCAGATTCGACCTGGCGCTTTTTGACCCAGAGTTCCTGCTTTTACGCCCTTGGCCAAGCTTCCTCCTTGATGGGTGAAAACACCCTGGAAGGCCGGGCAGTAGCAGCGTCCAGACACCTCTCCGCGCCTGTGGCCACATCTTTCCTTTCTGTGCCCTTTTGTCCCATGGTCTCTGCCAGACGCCATCCAGGACATTTCCAGCTGTGCTGCCCACTGCCACCGCCTTGCTCGTCAGGGCCGGCCCGTCCGGCTTCCGTGTGTGCAGAGTCTTGCCGTTCGGGTGTGTGGCGGCAGGGCTTGGTGGGACGTGGTAAGCCAGGTCACCAAGGGCCTTGCCTCCTGGGAGTCCTGCGGTCGGCCCTGGTGACACACTCAGTGTCTTTTTCAGAGGAGAGCCACACCCCGATGGGGCTCTGTTCTGAGCTGCCTGAAAGGCCTGCACCGGGGTCCCAGGTCACGGAGTGGGCGCCTTTTATTGTCCCTGTCATTATTTTCACTGACGCATGACGCACCTATCGTCCCTCTTCAGTATTGACTGGCCGTCCCCTGATTGCGGGGTGGCTGTCTCCTGATGTTTTCGGGGAAGATGTGTCATTTTACATTCTCCGGACAAGAGAGGATGGATTCCTTCTGGGGGTTCGGGTGGCCTTTGGGACTCGGTCAGCGGAGGGGAGGCGGGAGCTCTTGCCGGGTGGCTGCTTCTTAACCTGCCCGCACCTGTGACCTCCCCAGGCCGAAGGTGATGTGGCAGCTCTCAACCGACGCATCCAGCTGGTGGAGGAGGAGCTGGACAGGGCCCAGGAACGGCTGGCCACCGCCCTGCAGAGGCTGGAGGAGGCAGAAAAGGCTGCGGATGAGAGCGAGAGGTGAGGACACTGGGCCTGGTGGCCTCCGTGAATGGGGGTCACACTGCTGACCTCCCAGAGAAAAGCAGAAAGAGCAGCGGTCCGTTTGCAGAGGGATACTTCCTTAGAAAGCCATGGTACCTCTCTTCAGTGTTCCTGCGACGTCGGTTTTCAGGGCAGTGTGAAAAGAGGGAGAACTGGGTGTGGTGGCGCACACCTGTAATCCCAGCTACTCAGGAGGCTGAGGCAGGAGGACGGCAAGTTTGAGGCCAGCCTCAGCAACTCAGTAAGGCCCTGTCTCAAAATAAACAGATAAAAGGGGCTGGGGCCTAGCTCAGGGTAGAGACTTGCCCAGCATGTCCAAGGCTCTGGGTTTCATCCCTAATGCTGTGCAAAAAGAAAAAGGGGAAATGAGAACTGTAAAGGCCATCTGCAGATGTTAACGGGGTGGTGCCAGCTGTGTCTCAGGGGCCAGCGCCACTGATGTCCTTACAACGGATGGGGCCGCCCCCATAGCATTTGCAGCATCCGGGCCTCCACGGGGCGCTCTGTCCTGGGAGCAGGACCGTCCTCTGGCACGCCTTGGCTCTGGAGGACTGAGGGCAGATTGTGCGGCTCTGGGAGGCAGCGGTCTCTGTGCGGTGGTAAATGGGCTCCTTGTGCGGCCATGGTGTGGGCCGGGCCAGTGGTCACTGCGTCTCTGCCACATGGTCACCAGAATCCTTATTTGACCCGTCCACCAAGAGGGCTTTCCAGTGTAAGCTCCCCGCAGGGTTCATTTCTGATGGGGCTCCTGGTCATGAAGCAGCAGGTTCCGTCTGGGGACCCGGGAGGCTGACTGCAGGTTTTGAGGCGAACGCTTCTTCCCCGGCCGTGGCACAGCCAGGGGAGGGAACAGGCCGCCGCGGCCCCTGCTCGCCATAGATGGACTGGGTGGCGGCTCAGGCAGCCACAGAGTGACCAGGATCTAATGGAGAGGCACTTTTGGTGGTGCCTGGGGCCTGGATTGGCCTCGGCCCGAGCTTGTGGTCACACCTGCTGGACATCTTACTCAGAGGGCCTCCCCACGCCACACTGAGCCTGGGAAGGTCAAGGCCGCTTGCTTGTCTGCAGCATGTCACCAGAGAGGCCTTGAGCGTCACCCTTGGAGGACGCTGCTGCTTTGGTTAAAAGGATTCTACTCTTGGGGCTGGAGGTCCTTCCCCTGCCCCTTACCACAGGGCCTTGAGCAAGTCACTCCGATCTCAGTGTCACAAGGGGTCTTCCCTCAACAAACATTCCAGCGAGCCCCTGACGTGCCAGGGCCAGGCCCTGCACCCGCGCAGGGCGTTTTGATGGCTGAGAGTGGTGGCGAAGGCCAGAGTGAAGTGCTTCCTGGACGGAGGGGAGTGGCGAGAATGGCACACATCAATGACACGTAGTCCTGGTGGGCCTTCTCTCCGGAGTCTGTCACTTATCTGTTCCTCCCCGACTTCCTGGTCAGCCAGCGGAGTCGCAGGAAGGATCAGCTGTCCCCAGGATGCGTCCTTTCTAAGTGCATCCCTGTCGTTCAGACCCCTTCATCCTCACCTGATCGGTGCAGGTTGAGTGTCCCTTGTCCCAAATGAGGGGACCAGGGTGTTTGGGATCTCAGACTTTTCGGATTGGGGATCTGGGGTGTACACAGTGACGAGCCACCTTAGGGGTGAGAGCCAGTGCACAGCCTGAAGGTCACTTGACAGTGTTTTCAGCGCCCACTCTGTGACCTGGCCGGGAGCTCGGGGGTGGCACTCTCCACTTGTGGCCTCCTGTTGGTGCTCACACGTCCCTGAAGCTCCCTGGGCTGGGGCTTTTCCGGCAGGGGCTCGCTGGGCCTGCCCCTCACCGGCTTTCCCAGGCAGGCTGGCTGTCATTTTATTACGTCCTGTCTTGAAACCCTTGGTCCCGTGTCCCCTCTGCATAAACACCTCAGCTTGTCACTCAGACAGCCCCCTGACCGCCAGGTTCCCACACTGCCCATCCTCGGGGCCTTCTGCGGGCCTGTCCCCCACGGCGGGCTCCCTTTCCCTCATGTTCACTGTGGCCTCTCTTCTTACGTACGCTCTGTCCCCAACGGCCACGTCCCCTCCTGGAAAGCCTTTTGTGGCCGACCACAGCACTGTCCGTGGCTCCTACTCAGCTTCCCACAGCCACTGGCAGGGCCCTCTGGTCGCACCGTAGTGACAGCTGGCATGTGGTGACCACATGCCTCCTTACGTTCCTGAGAAGAGTCTAGAAGGAGCGCACAGACGGGGCCAGACGGCCGGCTTCGGTCCCAGCTCTGCCACTGACTGGCCCTGTGACCTTCTGCGACTCACATGACCTCTGGGCCTGGGGGTGATGGAGTCACGTGACCTCTGTGAAATGGGGGTGATGGAGCCACTTCGCGGGGCGGTTGCAGGTCAAGGCAGTCAGCAGAGGGGCCGTGGCCGTGAGCTTGGCGGCTGGCGGCCGGCTTCATCTGCAGCTCTGTGACCGGTGGTGCCCGGTGACCGCAGGGCAGGAGAGCCCGGGGCGGGGTGGGCGAGCGCACGGCTCATCCTGAGCTCGCTCCTTGCAGGGGAATGAAGGTGATAGAAAACCGCGCCATGAAGGACGAGGAGAAGATGGAGATTCAGGAGATGCAGCTCAAAGAGGCCAAGCACATCGCCGAGGAGGCCGACCGCAAGTACGAGGAGGTGAGCGGGTCCCACGGGGGCAGGAAGCGGAAGGAAATGGCGCTGCCGATAGCGAGGACCGCGGGCCGGAGGAAGCCCCGGGTTAGGACCGCCGGCCTTCTGGGTGCACATCTGTTTTTGCAGTGACAGCCCCTTGGCTAGGAAACTGTATCTTGCACGATGCCAAGAAGTCCTGTGGTCACTCGTCCAACTTGGCTGGAGAAGCCAAGGGATCGACTCCCTCTCGTGGGTCCGATGTTCTGGCACAGTTTGGCCAAAGCTGCAGATGGTGGCCCCAGCTGTGTCCCTGCGGTCCCTCTCTCTCCTCCCCCTGGTCCAGCTCTCTCCCGCTCCTCGTCTGCCTCACCCCTGGGGCCTGTGCGAGGGTCGCGGTTCCCTCCGGGCCCACCATGATGTGAGGGGGGCCAGCAGAAGGCCCCTTGGTGCGCCTGGCCTGCGTGGCCTGCCACCTACTGGGGAGAGCGCTTCCGACTGGACGGTGGGGAGCGGTGGGGATGGGTCTCAGCGGGGCCCTCCTGTCCCTGCAGGTGGCTCGGAAGCTGGTCATCCTGGAGGGCGAGCTGGAGAGGGCAGAGGAGCGTGCGGAGGTGTCTGAACTGTGAGTGGCAGAACAGGACTGCGTGGGCCCGCTGGCTCCCTGGGTGGAACCCGAGGGAGGTGGCTGTGCTGGGAGTTGACACTGGCCGGGCCTCTGTGCCAGTGGGCGGGCACCTGGACTCCTGGCTCATCCCTCCTTTTTTTTTTTTTTCTTTTGGTGGTGCTGGGGGTGGAACCCAGGGCCTGTGCATATGAGGCAAGGCTCCACCAGCCGAGCGACAGCCCAGCCCTCCTCCCTCCTTCTGCATCCATAGTGTCTTGTCTCAATGCCCCGGGAAGCATTGCCCACGTCTTCTCTTCCCAGGAAGATACTGGGGAAGAGCAGTGAGACAGGTGGTAGCGCAGAAGTCCCGTTTTCCCAGCGAGGCCAGCTCAGGGGCTGAGAGTGTAGAGCGCAGGCTGCGCCTTAGCGCTTCAGGGCTCTGCTCCTGGCGTCAGTGTTGGGCCCCTGACACGTTCCTGGCGGGGAGGTGAGAAGCTTGACCAGAATCGCACAAGTTGCAACAATCAAAACACTTCCTCCCTTGGCCTTGGATGAGGAATCCAGCTCCAGAGAGCGTCCTGCAGAGCTGAGAGAGATCTGGTTTCACAAACCCATTCCAAGCTTGCTTCCTGGAGTGTCCCGTGTAAGCTCTGCTCGCTGCCCCCCCAGCCCCCACACTCCATCTCATTCTTCCACCTTCCGGAGTCAGCCTCGGTCATCACCAGTTTCACAGTCCTGTTGCCTTGCCCTGGGCGGAAGTCCAGGAGTGCTTTACAAACCCTCCAAGAGCTCCTGGCCCGCCTTGCCTCTGCCCGGTACGATGGGGTTTTGATAAGTACACAGCATCACATCTAGAAAACTCCATTCACATTTTTCCCACATTCCTTCTGGGGGCCCTGGGCAGCGTGGATTGCTCCTTTTGAAAGTTTCTTTTAAAGGAATTGCCTGCAGCTCGGCAAGATAAAACACACATGTTCTTTGTCTCATTGTAGAAAATGTGGGGACCTGGAAGAAGAACTCAAGAATGTCACTAACAATCTGAAATCGCTCGAGGCTGCATCTGAAAAGGTTGGTGGCTGGCTCCAGCTGGAGGGTGACGTGGTGAACTTTGTTCGTTTCTTCAGGAACATGCCAGGGTGTCAGGAATCTGACCTTTACTTGTTAATAGTACCTTGGGTGCCCAGCAGCCAGGGTGGTCCTCTCCAGAAAGAGCTGTCAGTGGCTGGATTTCTCCTGACAGGTCTTGGGTCCTCTTCTCTGGGGGTCTTAGCACCATCTTTGATTTCCATCTCGTGGTACCTGGTAAGGATCCTCTTAGGAGGATCCGAGCAAAACCAAATAAATGGAGAGCCGCACCAGGCCTCGCTCTTGCCTGCGTCCTCCGGTTCCTCCAGATATCCATGATGCAGGTGGAATTGGCTTTTTAGGTTGAAAGTGCCCAGAGCAGTCACTGCAGAGCAGACCCCATGAGGAGCGTTGTCCACCCTTTTTGGTGGCCCAGCCTGATGAGCTCCAGCCTCATCTCTTCCGCAGGCTCCCTCCTGCCACCTTCCAGGTGCACAGAACTTAAGCTTCATGGACATTCCTTGTCCTCGAGTCCCCTCTAGTTCTTTGAAGCAGCTGTTCCCGCAGCCTGCGGTGGCCTCCTGGTTCCCTTTGCCTGATAACCCTGTTCATCCTTTAGATCTCTGCTTACACCTCGCCCCTTCAAAGACGTTTCCGATATCTCAGCCAGGTTATGGGGTTCTCTGCTGTGGAGCCCCCCTGCTTCTATCCCTGGTGTTAGGCTTATCACGTTTACTTAGTCATTTATTTGCGGTGCTGGGGACGGAACCCAGGGCCTTGTGTGTGCTCAGCAAACACTCTACCACAGAGCCTCACCCCAGCCCTGTCACATGTATTATAATGACCCAATTGATGTATGCTTTCCTTGCTGGACTTTAAGTTTTAAGAAGGGACGGCATCTATCTTGTTTAGGGCAGGGTCTCCCATACCAACATGTGACTGGTGGATGTTCGATCCCAGCATATGTAGTGAATAAATGCAGTTCAGTGTGCGAGCCAGATGTGGTCTTAGCCAGGGACAGAGCTGTCACAGTGATCTTATGTATGGTTTCTGCTCTGGAAGAGCTCAGAATGTAGTAAAGTGAAAGAGACTGATAAAGTTGTAGTTCTTGACAGCATGGTGGCACATGCCTGTAATCCCAGAGGCCTGGGAGGCTGAGCCAGGAGGATGGCGAGTTCAGCCTCAGCAACTTAGCAAGACCCTGTCTCAAAATAAAAAACGGGCTGGGGATGTGGCTCAGTGGTTAAGTTCCCCCGAGTTCAGTCCTCCGCTACCAAGAAAATAAAGTTATAGTTCTTTGAAAATTCAACAGAGGGACCTTAGAAATTTAGGAAAAGTGTCACTGAGGTGACATTAAAAAAGGCATGGCTGGGGTGTGGCTCAGTGGTGGAGCTCCTGCCTAGCGTAAATGAGGCCCCGGGTTCCATCCCCAGCATGGAAGACAAGAAAAACAAGGGTACCCCTGTGATTCCAGCCAGAAACACAAATTCCAAAGTTGGGCTCAACTCATGGCTTTGTCACTTTATAGCTACGTGACCCTAGACAAATACTTACCTTTCCATGGCCCTTTTGTCATCTGGAAAATGGGACTGAGGATATCTAGCCGTGATGGACGGTGGCAGGACCATGGCAGGCAGTTCTTAAATGTTAGTGATATTAACCTGAGATGATTGACATGAAGCCAAGGGGAAAGGAGCATGTCATGCTGGGGACACAGTCAGGGACAAGCACTGGGAGATGAGTACACAGAACCGACTCCGGCAGGCTCTGCCTTGGGGGAGCCGGTGGACAGATGTAGGGGCATGCATTCCCAGAGACCCGTGCGCCCCACTCCCTGGGAACATGGGTGGGTGATGAGCTCAGGCCCAGCTCAGGGCCACCTCCCTCCTCCTGAAAGGCGCGGCCTGGGCTTGGCTCCTGAGCATGCTCTCGGGCGTCAGGCGCTCAGTCTTCTCCAAAGAACGGGGGACCTGCGTTCCTCTCTGCCTGTGCCCCTTTTTTACAAAGCCATGTTTTGGTGTCTCCCGCAGTACTCTGAAAAGGAGGATAAATATGAAGAAGAAATTAAACTTCTGTCTGACAAGCTGAAGGAGGTGAGTGTGGTGCGGCCCCCCAGCTCTGTCCCCTGGGCTCCCCAGAGCCCTGGTCCTGGTCTGACTCTCCTCTCCTCCAGGCCGAGACCCGCGCTGAATTTGCAGAGAGAACAGTGGCCAAACTGGAAAAGACGATCGACGACCTGGAAGGTATGAAACTGGCATCTAAGAGTATTTGTCCTGCTCCCCCTGCGTGACATATGCAGGGACAGTTGGTGGACAGCGGGGGGTGATTCCGCGGGGGCTGAGCTGGGCTTTGTGTCGGTGAAGTGCAGAGGGAGGGAGTCTTTGGAATTTCTTCAACTTGCTCATTTCACAGAGATGCCTGGCATTTTTTGGAAATGCTTTGCATTTTTTACGGACTCTCTCCTAGAGAGCTTGAAGCGTATCTCAATGTAAGAGAAAGGAAATACAGAGGACTAGGGACCCCAATCAGTAGACCCTGGTCTGCCAGTCTGAATGGTGCCCCGCGTAACCTTGCCTGTTGAAGGGTTCTAATTTTAAGTTCAGTCCCCTGTTCTTCATGAAATAGCCCGGGGAATTCCAGAAATGGGGTTAAAACAAAATCTCCCAGACTGTCATTCCCCCAGCAAGGGGGCAAAGCCGTTCTCCAGACTGTGTGTCCCTGTGTTTGCTTTGGGAAGTGAGATTTCCATGGGAGGGAGAATGCCTGGTTCCCAGTGTAAGCTGTGGGCTGGGTGACATCCTTGGAAATCAGAAATGACCTGGGGCCTGCAGCTGTGGGGGCAGCTCTGTCCACTTCTAGTCACATTCTCTTCAGGTTCATTGAGGCTCGTCCCCTGCAGAGCCTCAAACCACCCATGAAGCTCCCCGCTGGTTGGCTCCTCCTGTTCATGCTGTTTTCTCACTTCTTTCCTTCCTCTCGCTGTTCACCTGTGGCCCTCCATTCCCACCGTCGCGTCTGTTCCCTGAACCTCTCCTTCTGACTCTCTCCCTGGGGACCTTCGCCCTCTAGATGAGCTATATGCCCAGAAGCTCAAGTACAAGGCCATCAGCGAGGAGCTGGACCATGCTCTCAACGACATGACCTCTCTCTGAGCGGCCCTAGCAATGCCGAAGTCCGCCCTCCCTCTGTGGGGCCTGCGCTCTCGGGGGCTCCTGTCTCCCGGTCTGTTCTTTCATGGCTTCTTCTGACGTGTCTGTGACTCTGAGTGAATAAAGACAGGCCACCCTCGTCTTCCTCCCTCTCCTTTGCATTTTCTCTGCCACCTTTGAGTCGTAGCTGTGTGCCTGTGACCTGCTGGAACAGGCAGTGGGTGGGGGCTCTCACTCACCACGGAGGAGCTCATTACAAGAGGGAAAATCAGGCCCACGTGATTCTTTTCTGAAGATGCGAAAACAAAAGCCAGCCTGGCCGAGCCCTCCGATGTGGCATGAGCTAAGTGCATCTGAATGCCAGTCATTGCGCCTTAAATAGAAATTGTTTTAATGGAGACTCCTCTCTCCAAGCCCCTTGGGCATCTTAACAGAGTTGGCAGAACCTGCGGAGGCGCAGGTCTGTGTCCAAAATGGGGCCACCCCTGATGGGGTGCGAGCTACGCATTCAAACAGCGGCAGTGGCGTCCTGTCTCCTGGTCCCTCCTCTTCTCGTTCGTTCTGTCTGTTATACTCTTGACCGGTCTTCCCCATGTCTCCACTGTCCACGGGACACTGATCCAGCTCCTGCCCTCGGGAGCAAGTTCACCAGCGAAGTTCACCTCTACACACTGCCCTTAGAAAGCTGACTCACAGGGGACTGAAGAGCGCCCTGGGGGGCAGGAGTGTGGCACAGGGGTAGAGCTGCTGGTTTGGCATGTGTGAGGCCCCAAGTTCAGTTCCCAGCCCCCCACAAAAAAATGAACATCCCACGGGTTGATGGGGCACAAGCCTGTTAATCCATCCCGGCTACTTGGAGGCTGAGGCAGGAGGATTACAAGTTCAAGGTCAGCCCGGGCAACTGAGTGAGACCATTTCAAAAAAGTGGGGGGGGGGAGTCAGCCAGGTACTGTGGCCCAAGCCTGTAATCCCAGCAACTTGGGAGGCTGAGGAAGGAGGAGTGAAAGTTCAAGGCCAGCCTTAGCAATTTAGTGAGGCTCTGTCTCCAAAAGCAGGGCAGGGCATGCCCAAAGCCCTAGGTCCAGGGTCTCCGTGCGCGCGCGCGCACACACACGCACACACACACACAGGAGTGAGATTATCATCTCCTGACTCCAGGCAAGGTGCCTGAGATCCTAAAATCTGCCCCTTCCCTTCTACTTAACCCTAACTCTGGTTAGGCCGTGAAGATGGCCTGTGGGATTAAAAGTTCATGCTTAAAGTGACCAGAACTCAGATTTACTCAAGACTCAAATTTCAGATAGTTGTTCTCTCCTGCATACCATCTCCTGATACCACCTCAGAGTATCCCAGAAACACTGACACTTTGTCCAGGCCACACCTCCCTGGCTATCCTTTGAACCTGGAGATGGCATGAAAATCTCCAATTAGATCATCAGTTTGGGGTCACTGTAGCTTGTTCCTCATCCTCTGGTTTTAAAGTCAGATGGGAACTTCTGTCCTGATTCCTTATACTCATCCCCCAGGGGCCCATGTCCTTTACTCCAGCCTCTGTCCTCCTTCCCTTTATCCTGAACCAGTTGCCTACCATCAGCTGCCACTCGCCTCACCTGTGCCCTTGAAAGATCAGACGCCAGGGGGTGGTTTGTGTGTGCTCCATTCATGGCTGGGATTTCTCCAGACATGGGTAGCCTCCACCCTTTGAAAACACCACCCACCTGCTGTCCAGTCTCTACCAACCCACACCTGGGTGGAGCTTCATTCCCAGAGACCAGTGCTACTACCTGTTGATCGTCGTGAGCCTTGTCACAATTCTAAAGGACAGTTAACACTTGAAGGGAAAGCCATTTCATCTCATACCTAATATAATAAAAACAGAAGCCGGGGATCCAGGTGCCAGGGTGAAGTGGCTTCAGGGTTTGCAGTGAGATGTGAGTCGGAACCCTTGCCCATGTCGATCATCTCACATTTTAGGAGGTATTTTGCTTTTTCTTCAGTACTTTAATGACTCAAGCCTGGTCCCTTATCAGCCATTGTTCAATTGCAAACCAGTCCTCGAGCTCTGTCATTCTTAGTGGGATTTTTTTTTCCTTTCTTTTTTTTTGGGGGGGGTGGGGCGGTACTAGGGACTGAACTCAGGGGCACCCAATCACTGAGTTGCATCCCCAGCCCTGTTTGAATTTTTTATTTAGAGACAGGGTCTCACTGAGTTGCTTAGCACCTTACTTTTGCTGAGGATGGCTTTGAACTCGTGATCCTCCTGCCTCAGCCTCCCAAGCCACTGGAATGTGCCCCACCATTTTTTTTTTCCTGTATCAGTTCAATTACTCAGAAACATTCGTGTCGTCTGGCTTAAATTTCAGTTATGAAATTTGACTTTACCTGAGGGTTGCATTTACCTGGGGGTTGGCTCCATTGCTCTGGGTACACAGACACAATGACATAATTATGCCTGGAATTTAAGACAGCCATTCCCAGAAGCTCCACAGGAAAGAGGGGTTACAGGGTCACATTTTCCTACCGTGAGTCATCCACTCATTAACTGGCATCAGGGGGGAAACTTAGCACCCAAAACTAGGACTGATATCTTAAGTTTGTATAGCATTTCATAAGTTCTGAAGGATCTCTCATTTATTCCCCATGTCACACGCTGAGGTTATTTCCCAGTTTGACATCCAGGGAAGCAGACCTGGAAAGCTAACTCACTTGACTCAGTGGTGTGACCAGAGCTTAAATCCAGGTGCTGTGACTCTGGAGTTGCCAGACTTATCAAATAAAAATAAGGACATTGAGTTAAATTTGAATTTTAGGCAGGCAAAGCAGTAATATTTTTGGCCTAAGTATATTTCATGCAATGTTAGGGATACATTATTTGTGGTCTGTATGAAACTCAGTTTAAGTGGGCACCTTGTATTTTATCTTGCAAACTTAACTTCAAAATCTGGTTCTCGGTCCCCATTATTCTGTGGTATTCTGCTCTAATTAAAATAGAGTATTTTCTCTTCTATGATTTGCACTTTGGTAGTTTGAGGTTTAGAGACTTTTGTTTGTTTGTTTCCCCTTTAACAAAGATGCTTGTTAATTCATTTTTCCCTCCCCTCTTGATTCCACCAGAAAAACTTGCCCAGGCCAAAGAAGAGAACGTGGGCCTACATCAGACACTGGATCAGACACTAAATGAACTTAACTGTATATAACCAGAACCGGAAGAGTCTTGTTCCAACAGAAATTCTAGAGCTCCATGTCTTTCTCTTCTTTTGTAAGAAGTTTCTTTTGTTATTGCATCTTCGCTTTGCTGGGATTTCAAGCAAATTATGAATATGTGACCAAATATTTTGTATCAGAGAAGCTTTGGGCACCAGTTAAATCTAATTCCTTTTTTTTTTTTTTTTTTAATTTCCAATGGCACCAGCTTTCTCAGCTCTACTTTTATCCTTAAGTTGCATTTATTCCTAAGGTAGGCAGGGCGTTTCATACTGAGCACACTCCCTTCAGATGGAGGGCTTTTGGTTCCTGGGAATATAGTCAACCCCACCTTTCAAGAATAGGCTCCGATGTCTAGTCATGGGTTGATTTAAGATGCTAACGGGTGTAACGGTTCTGGGTCACTGTTGGCCAGGTTACAGGAGGCTAGGGACCATCACAATAAAATGGGTGGGGATTTCCCATCCAGAGCCAAAAAAAGAGCCAACGTGGGAAACCATAAACCACACAGAGATAAACCTTCTCCACACTCCACTGTGCAGAATACATATCCTTGGAGCAGTCAGCTTGACAGTGCTTGGGAAATAGTCATAATATTTACCCAGGAATTGCCTGGATAATCCTTGATGCTATGTTCTACATTTTTCTTTCATTCTAAAGTTGTCCTCTGATGAGCAAGTGTCTTATTCTAATAATGACCCAAGCTTGACGGCTCTTGGGGCCATACCTGAGCAGGAATACTGTGCAATACAGTCCTGTTAGGGTCAGCCATATCAAAAAGACTGCTAGCCATCCATAAATTACACAGAAGAGTTGTTTTTTTTTTTCTGTCAACAAACATGTTGGGCAGAAGGGATCTCTCTGGCAGCAAAGTAGATATAGAAAAATAATTTGGCCTGACTTCATCTCCATCCTTCAGGGACTGGCAAATTATCCAAGATTTGAATTCCTTCTTTGGGACCAAGTTAATAAAAGACCAAGAAACTCCTGATGAAACTGGATATGGAGAACTTTTAGGCAGGGGCTGCACATTTTGGCTTTGTTTTATTTTTGCTTTCTCGGTTAACATCTCAGAGCTGAAACATTCCACATTTCCCCAACAGTGTGGGGACCAACTTGAGTTTACAATTCTGACTAAATTCACCCTGCTTCCAGCTTATCCAAATCCCCTGCCCCTCACTCCTATTTATTAAGCATCACACTACCCAGGAGATACACTAGCAAATTGTGCAGCTGAATAAAATCCACACTTTTCTTTAGATTCTTGCGACTGTATCATATGTAATAGTATCACTTTTTCTACATTTTGGTCAAATAAATTTTTACATAAATGACAATTTGTGTGAATTTCAAAATGGGTGGGGACATGCAGCATTTTGGTTTAACAAATGTAAATTGGGTAGAAAGAGAAGGTAATTTATGTGCCAAGAACTTTTGCGTTATACCATGACTTCATGATAGATTGTGATCTCCGTATTGCAGAGTGTGTGCTTAGCCTCAGTTACTCAGAAGCTCCTGTCCTGTGATCCTCAGTCCTGCCTAAGCCAGGTTATGAAGAATAAGTAGGATTTTAATAGATGTGAGAACATGGAAGGTGGTTTCTACTGCCTGAGTTAGACAAGTACAAGATCTGCCTGAATAAGGTTTCTGTATGCTTCACAATTAAAGCGAAGCACACGTACAGTTGGAAGGTAGGCTGGGTCCACACTGATGAGAACTTGAACTTAGTATGGTTAGGAGTGGAGAAGCACTGAAGACTGAAGTAAGCAGATCAGAACAAAACTAGGGAATTCCACTCTGCATGCATTATCAGGAAGGACTCGGGGGAGCAGATACGAGGGAAATCAAGTTGGGAAAATCAATAATCCACAGTAGTGCCTGCCATGAAATAAGAGGGAAGAAGTAATCAGAAGAAAGTTATTTAAACTTTAGCCAAGTGGGTGGCAGGGAATTTAGAGAAGAGAGTGTCAAGTCACTACTGTTTCACTACCTGAATTGCTCTCTCAGTTTACTCAAGATCTAGGCTTGGGGAGGGGAGGTAAGGAATCAAAGAGAAATGAAAGCCTTTAAAATGTAAATGTAATGTAGATGGCAGGTGTGGGGGAGGTTGAATACAGTATACTTCTCTGCTCTAAGCACCCCCCCACCCACCGATACTATATGGAAGTTCCTCCTTTAAGTACCTCTTTTCTCCCTCCCCACCCTGTTGGGTTGTAATTTAACCTCAGGATCCTGTTTTAATCATCTTTGCACCTCAACATTTAAGGGTCCAGTGTTCCTTAACTGATGTGGCCCAGCTCTTGGGGAGTTCCCAGCGCCATCAAGTGTGGGTGGAATACAAGGCGAGTTGAGGACCTGTGAAGGGCGGCATACACTAGGGTGAAGATTTTTTTTTTTTTTTACCCAGCTGAGAGATAACAGATGGATATTAGATAAGTGTTTTAAAATGAGCACACTGCAGGGTGTATCTAGGTTAGAGGAGTGGCCAGTGAGGCCAGTGGCGAAATGTGATGACCTGTGACAGTGGAAATGGGAGAGCAAGATTCAAACGCTGTTCAGAACCTTCCTAAGAACCTTGATGTGAGAGATCAAAGAAAGATGTCAAAGATGACTGAGGTTTCACTTAGGCCAAGCTAGTCTGGATAGATGAGTTCAGTGGTGGACATAACTGCATTTGAAGTACCTTTAACAAATCCAAAGGCAGATGTACCAGAAAGCAGTTAAATATGGAGGGATTGCTATAAACATGGGTTGGCTGGCTATGGATCACCAACAAAGCTGTTGGCATGGAGATATTAAAAGCCACGGGAGCAAATGAGATCACCCAGAAGGTGAGTAAAAACAGACCCATGAAGAACAACACCTAGAGAATAAACAGAAATCCCCCCCCCCCCCCACCAAAAGGCTGTAGTGGGCTGTGATGAGCAGTGTCCAGAGAAGGGGGAGTGGTAGAAGCCGGCAACATGGGGAGAGCACCAAGAAAAAATATCCAGAGAAGGTGAACAAGAGTAACATCACGGAGACGGAGGCCCAAAAGTGGTCAATGGCTCAGGTTGGAACTTTTCCCCCAACCTAGGTAGATGAGCTGAAGGGGTCAGGAGGACAGGCTATGGCCAGCTGTTAGCATACCCTTAAGTGGGTCCCAGAGTGATCCACAAGAGACTGGGACACGTGTGACAAGCAGGAAGCCCTGGGGACCAAACTGGCCTGTGAAGTGTGACGATCTGAGTTCAAATCCAATTTCCCACTTCGGAGCCTGGGAAAGTCACTTAACCTCCTTTGGCCTCAGTTTTTTCTCACCATAAAACTAGAAAGTAATACCTACCTGGCTGGGCTGGTGTGGGGATTCGGTATTTTTTTGCTTTTACAAGTGTGCAGAACCAACACTCCTAAATGCTACCTAGAATTGTCACTGTCCTGACTGCCCCAGCAGGTGCGAGACCGCCAGGCGTGCCTGCGGGCTGGACCGGCGCGGGCCAGAGGAGGCTCGGGGGAGGCCCTGGAGGCCGGGTGGGCCGGGTCGGCCTAATTAGGTCGGAGGGCGGATCCTGCGAGTCCCAGCGCGCCCCAGGGCGCAGCCCGCGGAGGTCTTCTAGGTAGGCCCACTGGACAGCACCACGATCAGGGGGCACGTCTCAAGGGGCTGCTTTACGAGTACAACCTGCGCCCTCCCGGGGCTGGCACATAAACCTGCAGTTGACCGTGCCAGCACCATCACCCATCCTTCCCGCGCTAGCCTCGACACCTACTGCGGCTGCGCGCCTTGGGTCGGGCCTTAGCGCTCCCTCCACGCGCTTGCGCCCTCTGCTGGAGACCAACGGTCTTCCCAGTGCGCGTGCGCACATGCACCAGGCCCCGCCCCCGAGCTGCAGGCGCGCGGAGCCGTTGGAAGCGCGCCCCGCTCTCCCCCTCCCTTCGGGAGGCGGGGCGGAGCCGCTCAGATTGGGGAGAACAAGGCGGGGACTCGGGATGCCAGGCCCCCTCTCTGGTCCCATTTGAAGCCCCTGACTCTTCACCGTTGGCCAATCGCAGCCAGCCCTGTTCCAAGAGCGGGCCAATGGGCGGCGCACTCGGGCTGCTTCCGGCTCCGGACCCAGTTCGCCCCTGCCCCGGGTCCCCCCGCGAAGGGCGGGGCTCTGGGGCGGGCGTCGGCCGCGGTGACGCGCGGCGGGCCGGGAGCCAATGGGGGGCGGGTTCGGCACTGATGGACGTGGCCAGCGGCCAGTGGCGAGGCGCTGTCCGCACTTCCCGTCCGGGAGAGAGTGTAATATGGCGAAGACCTACGATTACCTGTTCAAGCTGCTGCTGATCGGGGACTCGGGGGTGGGGAAGACCTGTGTCCTGTTCCGCTTCTCCGAGGACGCCTTCAACTCCACTTTCATCTCCACCATAGGTAGCGGGGCCGGGGGGCGGTCGGGGGCACTGGAGGCCTGGGCCTGGCGTGCCCCGGAGCTGCTGGGGCAGAGGGGTCGACCCGGCTGGACGGGTCCTGGGCTCCGAAAGGGTCGAGGGGGTCTGATGGGAGAAGAGCAGCCCTCTCCACCTCCATTCTGGGTTTCCCGAGTCCTGGTGGTGGGACTAATGCCCATTGTGCAGATGGGGACACAGAGGCTCTGATCCCCAGCCTGTTAGGAAGTTTATGTCCTGAGCTGGGGTCATCACGCCTGTCATCTCTTTCTGTCCTCGAAGCAGCCCTCGAAACGGTTCTTTGGGGGTCCTTCTTACAGAGGTGGAAACTGAGACATGGGGAGTTGGCATGGAAAAGGGATAGTGACACCTGACCTTATTGAGCATTTTCTTTGAGCTGGGCTCTTTCTGTGCATTATCACACTCTTCGGTATCCTATGTTAGGTACTGTGTATAAGCTCATCTTACAAATGAGAATTTGGAGGCTCAGGGAGAGCTTGGGACTCACCGAAGGTTATAGTAGCAAGAATAAGATTCGAAGTTGGGTGGATCAGACCCTGAAACTTGAGGCTTAGCCACCCCAGAATGATGCCACCATGCACCCCCCACAACAGGCATAGCTTATCCACCTTGGAGCTAGGACTCCAATCCATAAAGAGCAGGGGAGCCCACTCTATACTCTGGAATATTCAGGAGTTGAGCCATTTCTCCTCCCAACTCCCAAGAGTGACTTTCTTCTAGAGGGAATGGTGACAGCAATGACAAGTGACAGCTGCCTGCCCTGGGACCTGTCATCCCCAAGGAGATGCAAGGTAAAGCCTTGGTGAGAAACTGAAATCAGCCACTGCCACAGAAAACCTTGACTTCCCTATCACAGGGCCCAGGATTCCAGTTGTCGCTTTGCAGTACAGCTTTTCCTGCAGGGCCAGCCCGCATTGTGGTTGAACAGAATTGGCTTGTCGCATCTCAGTTCTGTCGTCCACAGAGGTGGAGCTGACTTTTCTCCTTGCCACAAAAACAGTCATTGCTCACAGTGAAAGGGTTTGACCATTCTGGATCAGAGTGGCCTGGGAGTTACCTCCTCCTGCTCAGGAGGGAGGAAGTGGAGAGATGGTCACCAAGCCCAGAAATTTTGTCCCATACTAGAAACCTAGGGGATGAGCTTTGCTTTACCCCTGTGTAACGTCAACCAAGTCATTTTATCTCCCCGAATCCCACCGTGATGTGCTGACTCCATCCTTGCCCTGCTCCAGGACCTGCACTTTGTAAAACAATTACATGCAGAAGGGATTGGATTGGAAATCATGCCCAATATCCAGATACCATCTGCCTTGGCCAGTGTCCTGGGTGGCTGAGGCTCAGAAGTACACCATGAATAAAGGCTTATTACCATTGCCAGAGGCCGTCCAGGGCAAGCAGAGCGGCTCCTACAGCATCACCTTGAGACACAGGTGTTTCTGAACTCTCTCCCCCTCTCTCGTTCAAGGTCAAACTTTGGTAGCCCTTGAGTCCCAAACAGCCAGGAAGTGGTGTTGACTCCTGTCAAGACAGTGGCTCACTCTCATCCTATAGCTCAGGTACTCAGCCTCAGGTACTTCCTGCTCAGTGCAAGCACTGTTGAGATCAACTCGGGTTGTTTTGCTGGGTTTTTAATTCTTAACCAGGATCCTCTCTAGCACTTCTGAGCTCCAAGAAGGCTGGCCTTCTCATTTGCAGATGAAGATGTGACTTGGTCAAGGTCACTTAGGGAAATGGAGGTAGCACTTGAACCCACGTTCCCTCCTTCCTCTAGTGTTCTTCACACTACATTTGTAGCTTAGCTTTTCTATGGGCCCCCTGTCTTCTAGGAAAGTTTAATTTGCCATGACCTTGAAGTTATGGCCTCATAATTCTTAGGCCTCATAAAGTTTATACTTCCTAATTAAATTTG